GGGGGGGGTATAGATGTAGAAAGTGAGTAATGAGAAGGAGGAGTTCAGCCTTTTGCTGCCAGCTGTCTCATTGATATACTTCTCCCACTTAGCTCTGTGGTGCAAAGTTATAAGTTTCCTCATGCATGTGGTATCTAAATGGTCTGTGCTTTTACCATGGCTGATACCTTGGCATGCTTGTTGCTGGCATGGATAGTAGTCCTAATTAGTGAGGGGCGAATCTGCCCAGGTTCCGTCTGTGGGAGATTTGGAGAGCTTGTCCGAAAATTAGCAAATTGCAAACATTAATGCGAACCCTATAGTAGTCAATCACAAGCAAACCTTAATTTGTTGTCAGTTGTCAGTTTTTAAAGTGATATTAAAATCAAAAGGCTTTTAAGCTATTCCAAATGCTGATTACATAACTTGCAATTGATGCTGCTTCTTGATGTTGAAAAGTTTTAGTTTCCTGCAGAATCAGCTGGTCTCCTGAGCAGGGGACCTGCTATTCTCTTTAGGGTGGCTCCTTTCTCAAGCAGACTTCTATGAGCCATGCTTGTGTGTGTTAGTAAGCTGTTTGTGTCTCCATAAACACACAGGCACAGCAAATTGAGCTAATTCCCTCCCCCCTGGACCCCTCTCCTCCAAACTAGTAGATGAACAGTTGCTGGAGTCTGTACTGTCCTTTGTGATCTTGTACTGGACAGGAAGTTCAGGGAGATGAGAGACTTGGAAATCCCTCCACCCTTCTACAAGCTAGTAGATAAACAGTTGCTAGAGATTGTGCTGTCTTTTGGGATCTTGTACTAGACAGGAAGTCCAGAGAAGCTGAGCTGAGAGAGCTGGAGCCATCTGTTCTGAATCACGATGGCTGTAAGTGGCTGTATTTTTAAAATACTTAGCTCGGTTTTGTATATTTGTTTGATCTGGATTCATTATTGAGTGTGAGAGTTTAATACTACTTTAAGATGTTTTTCAGGCACTCTCATTGAAGTCGAAAAGAGTTACGAACTTTTGAGAGCTTCAAGTGACATGTTACACAACACTCACTCACAACAACACAACACTTTGTAAATGTGCTATGAATTTATTTTCACATCTATTCACTATATACTAATATATACATAGATTTATTATATAGAATACTAGACATGTAAATTTTGTTTCATTCCGAATGGATATTCATACAAATGTTGTTAAATTTGGACATTCAGATGCATTCAAATTTCCAAATATAAAGGCGTCCGAATGTGAATGAATCCGAATGTCCGTACATGTCTATAGACTATTAATATATAGTACTCATCCTGGCACACTAGTATTCTTATACAGTATACTACAAACTGTTATACATACAGTATAGTAGTATACAGTACATTATAGGATAGTTCATAACAGAAAAAAACACAACCAGTAAGGAAAGATGCCAGGCTATTTCTATAGTGCACTGGCAATAAATGTATCCAGAACCCCCGGGAGCAGAAAGCATTGAAAGCCCTCACTTCCCTAAGAGCCCTTGGCAGGGAAGCCACTGGCTGCCCTTTGTTTGATGAGCACAAGCTTCCTCAGCTCATTTACACAAGAGCAGCCGTCGCAGCTGAGTGGCCGGCTGGCTGCACGTGGTTGTGCAGGCGGATAGCAGCAGCCTAGAGCCTGACACACTGCTGAGCACTGACTGCTGCTAGCCAGAGCCTGCTATACCTGCCAGGGAAAACCGACTGAAGGATGCTGCTCTAATCCAGGGGACCAGCATGACAATCTCACCCATTGTCCCCATGCACAAGTGCTGCTGTTTCCCTGTCCTCTGTCTATTGCTCTTCACAACAGCAGGTAAGATGCTTAGCTTCCTTACTCTACAACATAACATATTCATGAATTTGTTGGGAAAAATCATTGATAATGTCACTTATATTCTTCTAGTGCAGACCTGTTTTATGCATCCAGTGACATTGCTCTAGTATCCATGTGTAATCATAACACAGGTAAAAGGACTTTATGAAAATCCTACAGTGGTTTGTGTATCATACGTTCACTGTGTATTCCTGCAAGCTGCTGCTCTAGCATAGCCGTGCATCTGCCAAGAAGCTGGATCTGGCAGCATCAGGACCAGCATCAGCACCAAGGACAGCTCTCTAATGTGTCAATCCTTCTAATATAGTCAACTGCCATTGCAAGTGATTAAATAATCTGTGTTAAGTAAACGACAATTTCCTCCCAGATCACCCAGTTTTTGAGATATCGCTAGATGTAGCCGCTTTGTGGTCCTTATCTCTACAGTAATTTATGTACACAATGTATATAACACATGCTATACAGTACTGCCACCATAGCATGTTTCACTGTGCTTTCTATGATACCAAATAAGCAATAGCTTTCTGCTATTTACTGACTGTGCTATCATTTTTACCTATTTGGTTCTTTTAAATGCAAAATTAGATACATATATATTTTCCTGAGAAATATGGATGTTTCATTAGCATCAAGCACAAGTATGTGTGCTTATTATTAGATGGATACAGCAGGAAAATATATAAATCAGAATCTACGTGAACCAGGGAGACTGTGCAGTGAACACACAAGAGCACAACTCTATATTTAGAAGCAGCAGACATACAAATAGGTTTTGGTTCCCTTATTGCTGCATAATACTTTAAACCTGGTAATTCTGATGGATCATTCAAGTAATCCGCCATCATTACTGTCAGGTTGGTTTGATCCTACATCTGCCTGAATGACTTTCTTGTGTGAACATCGTTGCTGTGTTACAAGTAGCATATTATTCAGTGCAAGGCTTGCTACACTGCCATAACATAACTGTTATGCCAAATTAATGGTGCTTAAAGCCTATCTCCAGGGGGAAAAAATACCCTTGGGGTGAGGCTACCCCTGTGCTGCAAGGGTTAACTGCTCATTTATGTGCAGGAGACCTGTGTAAAAGACTTTTATTTACCTGATACCTACGCCACTGGCAGTCAGCGCTCTTGTTTCTCCTCTATATTCCAGCTTGTGGACTGTCCCATGGCATTCTCACGTATAATGCAGAGCTATGGGCCCTACATTAGACGTGAGGATGCTGACGGCCATCCGGCCACCAGAGCACAAGGAAGAAAAGGCTGCGGGCACTAGGTCTGGAGTCTGTGGGAGAGGGGATCAGGTAAGTAAAAGTTCTTTACACATTACCCCAGACAAGAATGAGCAGTTAACCCTTGCGGGGGTTAGCCCCACTGCAAGGGGAGTTTTTTTCCCCTGGAGAAAGGCTTAAAGTGTTACAAGAAAAATCTATATATGATGCAGACAGTGGTAATTTGAGAGATAGCTTGCATTATAATTAGAAGTATAATTGAACCAAGTATTTTCTCCTAGGTTTGCACAACAGACCACATGTTTTAATGTTTGGGGAGGATGTTTTAAAGAATAAAGTATTGAGCATATTTCAGAATTTATATACAAGACATGATCTGTGATATCACAGCAGCTTTATATACCACATTACTATACTGCAATGCTATTATACTATACTACACTATACCATAATAAATGTTTAAAAAATTTTTTGAGTCATAAATGGAAAGTGATAGGTTGCATACATAGCGAGTACTGAAAAGAAAGTTGCAGGACTAAGGCCTAGTTTACACAGGTTTTAGGAAAAGGCATTTGATGAGTAGTTGTTTAGCTCTGCCACTATCACCAATGAATCTGAGTAAGGTTGTATACAGAGGAGTATGTGGTAATGATGCGCTGCTTGTTTAAAACAATTTTACTTGCACCGTTTATCAGGCTTCTGGTTTTCTGCTTAGCAAGGTCTTCAGAGTTCTTGTAGCAACTGGTTGACCTGTTTTTAGTTCAACTGACCACTATTCTTTATCCTGAGATATGGCCAGATTCAGGGTTGTCTGACTGCTCCTCCCCCTCTTCCTTAACAGGAATTGGGCCTCATGCACACTACCTACCAAAAGGTTGAGTTCAGGTGCGCTTGGAGCTCATTTCTAAATGCACCTGGACCCATATAATGTGTTTCTATGACTGAATGCACACCTAGGCATCCAGCAGTGTCTAGGTGCCTTCAGTCTAGGTCAGTTTACCCAAAATAGAAATTTCTGTGTTCTGGGTCCAAGTAGCCTAGTTTTATGTGCCTGAACGTGTGTAAGCGCGTATAAAAGCAACTAAGCCCAGCACAGAAAAAAGTGATCTGGGAAGCATAAAGTTGTTTATACTTACCAGATAACTTCTGTTGGGCTTAAACACAGCCTGCTAGTGTGCATGAGGCCTTAACATGCATTCTCAGATGATGCAGATGATATGGCTTTTAAAGAAAAGATTGTTCATCTGCCAGATCATTCCTGAAGGTCAAACTGTCATCTAAAGACTGTGTAGGTTGAGTGTTATTACCAGCAACAGGAAAACTAAAGGGAGTACTCATCTGCTTCTACAATGTCCCTCCCTCACTGGCTGAAATGCTGTAGATTACTCGCTCACTAATGAGGGAACAGCAACAATAAACAACACATTGCTGGTTTGGCTAACTGTGGAGTGTTTTACCTGCTTGCATGGCAATCCTGTCACTGGCGCTTTGCTACCAGCTACAGGGTCACTCGTGTAATATGGGCCTTAACTGAACTGTTCAAATTGAAAAAGTATTTTCTTTTTATTTAATTCTTTTTTTGAATAATTATTGCTGGAGAAATAAATACAGTTAGCATCTTAAGTCACATCTACCTCACCTTTGCATCTTGCATATGGACTTAGGGGCATATTTATAAAGGGATGATTCTGACAATCAGCAAGCATTCTCTACAGGTGAATCTTCCAGGCATTTCCTAATAGTAATTACTAGTTGCTTTTAATTTTGTTTCTAAGTTCTCAAGAGATGAAAAACAAATGTTTTGGCTTTAGTTTCACTTTTAAAAAAACATTTAAAAAATCTCTCCAACACACACACTTTTTTAAATCTTTTATATCTTTAAAAACTCTGCACGTGTAAAAAATACTTGTTGTCAGGTCCAACCATTGGGAGAGCTCTTTTTTCTAAAAATTCTTGCATGTGTTGAAAACATTTGTCGAGCTAATCTGTGTGTACATGCTTTTCTGTAGAGCACTGAGGAGACACATTTGTCAATAACTTGTCTTGGGGAACACAGCGGCAAATGGACAAGGCTTTTAGACCTGTTCAATCAATCAATCTTTCCAACCAAGATTAGTTGACCAAGAACGGGTGATGTCATAAACATAATATTGTCATCAGATCCCACCAAAATTATCATTCCAAGTCTATGGGAAACTTTAGATGGGCCAGCTAATATGCCAGGGTAATGGCAGCTTAAGTAAACTACCTGATTTTCAGGTCGCATTCCCATTATTGATGATCATTATTATATTTAACTTCTGCATTGAACAAGCATATGTATGGCATGTGGGCTTGTTTTTAATAGTAAAGCAAAACACTGTTTGCCTAAATGCAGTACATTTTATTTAATTACTTAGTAGCCTTGTATATTTTCTGTCTCCACTAAGGGGTCTATTCACGAAGCTGCCGAAGGATTTGGCCATAGCTTCGGCCGATCCTTCGGCTAGCTTCGGCCCCAGGACCCCTTCGGTTCAGTAGAAGTGAAGGGGTGCTGTACGGGCTATTCAAAATAGCCCGTACAGCTCCCGATCGTAGACCGAGCGGCTCAGCCGAGCCGAACGCATATGCATCGGCTCAGCTGAGCCGTGCTGAAAGTCAAAGCTGGCCGACCGACACCCTGCTTCTGACAGCTGGGCGGAGCCAGCCGTGATCTTACGGCTGGCTCCGGCCACTTTCAAGAATAGACTGTTGCTGTTAACATCTGTAGCATAAACTTAGTATATAAAATGCATTCTCATTGTATGCATGTATTTTTAAATGCATATCTTATGATGAAGCTACAGCATCCATGCACACAAGTATGTTTATGTTTCTAGAGCGAGTCAGTGTGGAAGCTTACATAACTATTGATGGTGTTAAGCTTTTCCTGTGCTCTGCTAATACCCCATAAGGCTTAAACAGTATATTCATCATGTAAATAATCTTGGGTCCAATTTGTTTTAGTAGGATTATCCACAATATTTTCCAGTCAAACTGCTATTGCAATCCAGTATAAATTGATGCAGATCTAAAGACTTAAAAAACCCCTATTGTGGTTTGACTAATGCATTCACATATCAAGTCTTTTAGAGGGGCTGTGTTATTTTATGACATGTATTTGTATTTTGCATATGTATATCCATTTTATGATATATACAATATACACTATATATACATATATACTGTATAAATATATATGCACAGTATATACCGTATATAAATAACGTGTTCTATATTTATTGAAGGAGCACACTGAATTAATGGAATATTTTACTTTGCACTGTGTCTGTAGATAATTTTTCTGTAGTCTTTTTCACATTCAGTATCCACATAATGCCCGTCTCTATATATTGGCTCCTCGGTGTTCTGAATTCTTCAAGCACATCAGCTTGAAGTTAGAGATAGTTAGATTTAGAACTCTGCTGTGCATCCACATGACATATGTTGTTGCTTGCACCAGATTTTCAACAGGTACGTAAATTTGGCACAATCGCAGACATTTATGGTGGGGAGGCACACTGAAGCTGTAGTGTCCATGCCAGAAACTACATCCTTAGTGGAGCTCACTATCTTCCATGGCCACTGCACCTGCCACACATTGATGAAGTGGGTGAGGAGTTTTACTAGTGTGTGGGCCAAGCCGAATGGGGAAGCTGAGGGACTAATTCTCTATCAGGTCTGGTCATTGACAGCAGGCATATGGACTATGAAATCCACCCACTGTCTG